AAACTACTTGGCGGAAGTAACACCTGCTGTTTGGCGCCAAGAACTGTCTGACTGGTCCCAGTCTCTCGCGGTTTCCAAACCATCTACAGGCATTAAAATGCCTGCCGTTTCGCAGTTTTTGCCAAAGGTTTCACTTGAAAACTACTATTATTTATGAGTTGATATATTTTTTACCCGTAATAATTTCTTCGCCTGCAACAGAACAAATTGTTTGAAAATACCTCCGGAGCACTCTATTTGACAGTTTTAATATTTATCTAAATATTTTCGCCCTCATTGTGAACTCTACGCTTTCAGCCGTAACCGATGCAACATTATTTTGTTGTTTGCTCATCCCCTCTGATGTGACACTTTTAGTTATCTCTCTCTTGATTGAGAGTTTTCCTTGATTCTTCGTTTTGCTATTGTGAGATAGTGTACTGTCGATAACGAGGTGCTGTTTTACTGTTTCCGACATTTTGTTTTTGGCTCAACTTACGGTTGTGTTACGAATTGACTGCATATATTTTGACTGTCCATTGAAAACGTTTATTGGTTGATCTGATTACTGTAGACAGAGTTTTCATCCGATTTTCTTAAGAGCATTCTTATTGATTCTCAGTATGTGGTCCTTGCCAGACATTTTTTACTGTACAGTTGCACAGCAGCATTGTCGAGTGCCGCAAATCAGCGATATGGTAATACTCAACAGGCAACACCATGATCATCCCCCTCGTGACCAGATAAAGGGTGGTGGTCCGAAGAACAAAAAAAACCACGAATTTCACCTAAATGCTTATAACTTCATCATACGCTTGTACATAGGCATATAACAAGTTAATACCTGGTCAAATATCCTCTAATCTTTCTATTTCGTAGTGATATCTTCAGCTTCAGATTGACTTTCATCACTGTCGTGCACACCTTCATCTTCTTCCACCTAAGCTTACCTCTAGACAGTTGGTTCTGGACACTTCCTCAAGTAAGTTTAACAGTCAGTACAAACTCACCCAGATGTATCATGGTCGATCTACTCCTGCGTATTTTTGTGATCCTGTTACAGATTTCGCCCGCTGCTCGCTTTTGTTATTCACTTTTCAGATTTACTTAACCAGTCCTGCATTCAAATGGAATCCTACAAATCGCATTCGTCAGTGGGAAATATTGCCATCAAAACCTGATGACGAACGCGCACACCTCAAGGTCATGACCGTGATGCGGCCTCACCTTCAAGAATGTTGGATGATTCAAACGATGACCGGATAATCTTCAAATTCAAACTGAGCCTGCTTCAACACACCTCCTTTATGCCATAAATCACGGCATCTAATGTATAGCATAACATTGTGCGTAATAGTCATCTCTCATTACCGAAGTGATCAAACCTGTAAAATGGTTTGTATTCACGTAACTTTTGTTGTATGAAATATATTATATTATCATTTTTATTATTATAAATTTGCTACAAGTCTATCATGGAGTCATCACGTCAAACCTTGTTTTGATGTCGTCGAAACAATTTTTGACTGTACGTGACTCACGGAAGTTTGGGAGACCATACGCTAGAACGCAGTAACTCATACGGATCGCATCAGTGTAGTCACATTGAATTGTCCCCCTCATTCAGGCCGAAATAAACGGAATTTGGTCCTCACACCACAAACCTTCCTTAGAAGGCGAGAAAACCCCCATGGTTTTTCAACTTGTCGATACGTAGTCTGGCAGCCAGTTAGTTAAAAAACCATGTCTTCATGTCTGTGTAATTTTTGGTGATCAGGTGTTATAGTTTGTAGCCAACGATTTGAAATACAGAGAGTATCTCAACCAGCAGGGTACGATGATGTAGTCTGAAGTGAAGATGTGACGACGTGTTAAGAAGCGGAAAAGAAAAAACCTGAAGAGTAGTGCTGGTCATCTTTGAATTGAAAAACATGCCTCCAATTACTGCTAAGGTCGTTATGTATAAGCCTGTGTGGTGAGGTTGCGGCCTGTTGTTCGTCAGAGACTTCCGCCCCCCATTTTTCAAAACGTTTTTCGAAGGTGGGACCACTGGAATCTCCCTTTTCCTTTGTGTATTGACGAGAATTGATTTAATGGGAAGAAACCTTTCAGCTACCTGTAGTAGCCGGAAGATAGTCCCAACGAATGAAGATCCTGACAGAATGCAATCTTTCGGACATTCTGACTGGGAGCTTTAGAACGTTTCTTAGTGTCTTCATGATCTCGATAATCTAAGTAATTGCCATCAAGCTTGTCTGTGTTAATGCCTTGCTTGACATTCAGTGATGAAGTGATGTCGGAAGTTGACCGACTAACTCACTGTGAAAGTCAGAACAGCACTGATGGGTCAATGACTCACAAAAATTTATTGCCGTATCGAAAGGCTGAGTTCATTTTTCGACTCATTTTCAATGTCGTTTATGATGTTGGTGAGATACCTGGTTGTTTAGTGCGGGAGACGAAGAAATTCAACTTTTCTATTCAGACTGCTGTAATGTGTACCTAGGAGGTCAGTTTTGAATGTTCTGGATTGGAAACATGTCAGTTGACTCGCTGGCATCAGTCAGAGTTCACCTCAGTGACTTAATTGGCCTTGCTGACTAAAATTTAAACTTCAGCACGTGTTCCGTGCCAGGAAAATCCTCTGGCCGTGTAGTTGCCCAGCTTCACTCTTGAGGTACTTTGTAATCTCGATACAACTTGTTGTTGTTTGACAGTACCACAAATTTATCGCCGATTTATCACGTCAAGTCGTGTTTTTACATTGCTGAAATATAATCTTTGACTGTGGATGACCAGAGAAGGTTTGGGAAACTAAACGGAAGAACGCAGTAACTTGTCTGGACCTTGTTAACTTGTTTCAATCGAATTGTTTTCTGGGTTCAAACCGAAACATTCGGATTTTGGTCGTAATAAAGTTAACAAACAAAACGACGAGTAAATATCGCTCATTTGAAAGTGGCCATTCGGGCTACGACAGTTTACCTTACAAGGAGATGGAGGCGGAGACTAAGAAAAAGATGTATATGCCAAAGAGAATTAAATAGGTCAAACAACGGCGTTTTCTTAAAGAATTAGTAAAGGATCTGAACCTGCTAGCCTATTTTTCGATAAAATCTGTAGGCTGTTTCCCCGATTTGAATAATGAGTTGAATAGACTTCCGTTCTCGTAGAAACTGTTAGTCCGTAAAAAGGATAACTCACGATACATTTTTAGGTGTTTACATGCCACAGTGCATGCACAGTTTCTGATCAGCCGTTTTGTGCCGTCGGCCATAAAAATTACATGTTTCATATCAGTTTTACCAATTGACTGTGCAGAGGACCTGTGAAAATTTCGGTCTCTGATGTGTCCTATTCTTCCCATCAGTCTGAAAAGAAAACAGTGGTTAAGAGTTGTATGTGAACCGTTCCTTAGGTTACATACCAAAGGCCTCCGTATTTTTATCCGAAACCACTATCATGCGGGTTCACTGTCAGTTTTCAGTTAATTGAGATCATGGAATCCCAGAGTTTCCTCGAATTTATGGGCTCATTCATAAGAGTGTATGCACTTTATATACCAGGAAAACAAGACAGGGACCAACGTGTCATGCAGTCATACCTGAAAAACCACATTGGCACTCTGCAACATGCTTGGAGGATGACCATGAGTAAGGTGATTGAACTGCATTGCAAACTCTGTCTAATTCGCTCGCTCGCCATTTGGCTGCGACCATCACAACAAAAACAAATCAGGTCACAGTGAGATGAATATGATACACCATACTGCACGGGAATGGTCATGTAATGACATATCTCTCCTACTTTCTGGTCGGAAAACTGCCTCCAGTTTGGCCATCTTTTAGTATTAGGGTATGGGGGAGCATCAGTGGAGATCCAACCTAATGTGTTAGCGGTCAGGATGTGGGAACTGTTAGATTCACTGTTTGGGCAATTTATTATGGCCGTTTCGGCTACCGCCATCAAAAGTTGTTTTTACATCTGCTAAGAGTTGTGTGGCAATGAATTGGTCTAGTCAAAAAATCTAATGTCATCTTGGATACCACCAACAACAACAGTACCTGTTTGGAAATTGATCTTGGGCGAATTCGACAGACCCAAATGCTAATCAACAAATATTCATGCTCGTAATGTACCCGAGAGTGTGAGACCGAGAAAGAACAGTTAACTAGCCAGGTTGGAGTGGTGAATTCGAAAGTCCATGCCGAAATACCTATGCGTCCCGACTCGACGGCTAAAGAGTCACATACGACCAACGCAAGTTAGCACTACGTGTTGACCGGTCTGGAGGCTTGACCGTCTGCCTCCAGCTTGGCAAGCCCACCAAAAATATGGAGTTTGGCATCAGTTTTGCATCTAGCCGAATCACAGGCCATTGATCTTGAGGAATTGTTTAACGTTAGGCCAGAAAACCTAATGGCAATAGTTTGCATCTTTCCCTTTCCGGTCTTTCAGGCTCGGAGAAAGAGCTGTGGTCAGAAACTGTGTTTAAGCATTTTCCAAATACATAGTAGTTGAGATTTGAAAAATTCGAAGGACCATTTGATTGTCGGAAGATAACAGGGTGAATGGAAACCATAGTTCCTGGTATGAGGCGTAGTTATATCCATATGTGCATCTGCGGTTGTAACTCACTGTATTCCACAGTACAAACCAGATATTTATCCATGATGCCGGGTAGCACTCCAAAAATAAGTGAAAATGTCTAATATCTATACTATCGGAATTTAAAAACTATTTGGCTATTCTTATTTTGAATTTCAAGTCAAAAGAGTTGCTTCCATTGACTGTAATATCACTGTTAAAAACCAAAGAGACGAACACACGAAAATGAATAGACAGATGATAAATGCGCAATGGAATCTTGTCTTTCTTTATCATGATGTGACGCATACTTACGTATCCACTTTAATCCGCTGATTTTTTGGATGTTATTCATAGCATGATTTAGGGAATCAGAAGAGTTTTTCTTGCAAAAAGTATGCTGAATTAGAGTACTTGATTTTAAAGTGCCGCCAGTAATTTTTACGGCACGAATTCAACCACAAGGAGACTATAGCGCGGATCTCGGGGTATCCTACTGTTTGGTTTTTTGTCTGCTCATCTCAGCCAACATTAGCTTCGGGTGCACATTGTGAGTTTCGGGCTAAAACCGAAAATCTTACTTCGGGCGCATATCGGGTGACGCACGATATTCCCCGAATGTTCTAAACCTTTTCCCCTAAAGTGTCAAAAGTCACGAAGTGGGCCCTAAGTTTCTGCAATGCGCAAACAACACCCAAAGTACCTGTAGTGCACCCGAAAATTTGTAATAACACGTATCCCAAGTGATGAGAAGCCGTAATCCGTAGTATTTTTTATCTGAATATTTGACGTTTATGTACTACATGTGTTTATGTTATAGAAGTCAATAAAATGTTAGCGGCCTAGTAAAATATTTGAGAAACTTTGGGGAAATACCCGAAAGTTGCTAACTACGCCCAAAGTAGCTTCAAGTGAAACCCGAAAGTTCTAAAGAGCGTTCGAAGTAAATGCCGGCTGGTTCAGGGAATCACCGACTATCTTCCATGTGAGATAGTATACCATTGACCGAATATCAACAAACGGCCTAGTACGCACCGTTTGCTACACTGAGTCTTACACGTCATAATTATTAAGGATCTTAGTTATATTGAGAGTGACATGGCTAGACGAATGTGATTACGCCAAGCGCATTTAAGTGGCATGACTGTTAATGATGTCAGCTAATGATGTTTGTTTTACAGATAGGCATAGATTTCAGCAAAGTCAAAGATGTTTGAGGTGGTGAAAGACTTTCTAGGTTATGAAACAATGGAGCTCAGGTAGCTCAGGTGCACGGTCTTGGTTGTATTGTGTTCTCTTAGCTGGGTTGTTTCATCATGCAGCTTTCATCGTCTTTCTCGACGACACCATGTCATTGCCAACTTCAAATTTCTACAGTATGCACAATATTTGCACCATAGTAATGATCTCATATGAATGGCCACATTGCCATCTACCATGAACGATCACTCACTACGGTATTGTTTACCTACTTAAAGCTAAGGAAGATAAGACAAACACATCGAAGGAGATCATGACACAAGTATGCATCAGTTTAAGTTGTTGCACTTCACAGCAAAATGTAAGAAAGAAGCGGATCGAAAAACTAGATGGAAGTGTATGTGAGTTGAGGGGACAAATAGATGAAATCTAATGAAAATGTTCAAGAAATCGAAGATGACAAGGAGCATACATCTGTGCCATTTGAACCATTTGTGAGCTGTATTACCAAGAAGAGTCTGCAAGTACTGATTCCTTTTATTTCGAGGACCCCACCTAGGTGGTCCACTCTTCTATACACGGCTCAGACCAACAGTCAAGGACTTCACATATTAGTGCTACATCTTGTTGTGACCATTCTTTTTTTCAACCCTATCCTACTTCGGCTAATACTGGACTTTGAGTAAGGCATTGCCTTGGCAATTGCAACACATGTCCAAGCTATCTTGATCAATGAAAGTGGAGTCTGATCGTCTGACTTGCCTTTCTTGCGTAGTAGCGTTTGCATAACCTCGACATTGCTCACAAGTGATTCCACCATATGTGGCAAATACAACAAAGATATCTGCGTTCGGATACCTGTAATCTCTTTACGTCATCTAATCTCAACGGCCATATCTCACAGCCTTAAAATAAGAAAGAGTGAACTGGAGCACAGTATACTCATCCTTTAACTGTTAGTCGGATATCTCGTCAGTGCCAGAGACGATGCAATTTGACGAATGCACTGTGAACTTTTTGCATCTGATAAGATTTGTTGTTTAGTGTAGCACACAGAGACATGGTAGTATTCACTCGATGATGTCAGGCAGAATTTATTGATCTTACTATTATTTTCAACACCCAGTTATGCTTCACTCCTTTTCCTTAAACTGGGAGTCAACGCAGATCTTTTTCTCAGCAGAATTTTGTTGCAGGCGTTCGGAAGACTGCTTTTTTGCAGCCTCTGTTCCTAACAGGACTATGTCATTCGCGTACATCATGACAACCAGGCGCAGCATAAAGTCTAATTCGGTTTGCGGATATTCGGAAACACTTAAGGTTATTTGCGTTAGCGAAATCAGAATAACAGAAATGAAATGTATGCTGTATGATAGGTATGCGGTTCCCTGTTATTATTCAATACTAGTAAAACTTTTTTGAGTAAATTAGCCATCCATTTTAACTTATCAACCTATGTAACTGAAGGTGTTGTCAACGAAAATTGACGCTCACCATCATTCACTTGCCGAGCTTCAGCAATATCTCCCGTACCAGGTCTGTGACTAACCTTGTTATTGAAACTAGAGACCAGCTTGTTTACGTAGGTAAATAGTCTAGGCGCTCGTACAGTATATTTTCATAATTCAATCAATACCTGAAAGGTTTACTTCTTGAACTTCTATTCAGCCAGGGTGGTTATTCAAGATTTGCTAAGACTGAAATATCTGTTGTCGCACCGTTAGTAACTCACTGATTCGTTTGTAAGCACGTATTTGTAATCCCAAGCCCAGCATTTTTAGTTATGCAGACTTTCTATTTTGAAGTAAGGGGATTGAGAAGGATTAATTCTGAAAGCTAAGAATTGCACCTATAGTTTCCCTTTATCAACTTTAAGTTTGATTGGCGAAAGTCTGGAAGCATGAACTTTTCCAGGCCTTATGCCATCTAAGATAGATCATATTTAGACTGCACGATCGCGCAATATTAGTTCGTTCTCTGTCGCAAATACATAAAATGTATACCACCTATAGTGTTAGTGACGTAAAAGAATTAATCAGCGACAAATCATGCTTTTGTTTCTGTCTTTTCTGGTGTGCGTGGTTTCCTCCTGTTACTGACATTATCGCTCAACTCCTGGCTTCCTTCTTAGACCATCACTAAAGATTCAAATGAATCTTCTTTCTGGTTTCCTGGAACCACATCACAAGCTACCTATGGAGATTTATAACGTCGGAATCGTACGTCTGATCGGTCAGTAGACCCAACGAATCAAAACTCCTTCATTTTGAGCAGTGAATATATGCGTTACTCAAAACATATGCAAGGTTAAGATGTAATTACTAATTTAAATTCATTTAGTAAGTGCGGTTGATCTGTAAGCTTCAACTTTAGGTTGTACTCTGCTTTTCTCACTTTTGTTTTCTGTTACTGGAATACCTGGTATTTCTAATTGATGCATTGTTTGTAGGTTACCATCTAGCAAAACGTTTCTGTTCTATCGGTGCCGTTGGTTGATGAACCTTTTTTGTTCTCACAGGTGCCCTGAGTACTCAAAGATCGTGGCTAGTGGACTTAAAAACTCCACAATAGTTTGGTTTTGCTAAATTGATTGACCATGGAAACAAATAACTCCACTTGTGAGGACGAAAACATTGTTCGGAGGTGCGTTTCTTAATGTGTTTCTACATTGTTAATTCTCATGATTAAATCCGCACCGTGTATACTATATTTAGGATGCAATCTTGGCAAGTAATACAGTCAGTGCAACTTGTGCAGTAACTGTAATCTAAGTTGATCTTACTACCGTTTAACATGTACTACCAAAGTCTACTGCTGGTAACGAACTGCGGAGAAAGTAAATGTCATTAGACTAGTTTTCGTTCTTCAGGTGTGTTACAGTCAGAACTGCTTTTTTGGTTGGACTCATTCTACTTGACACAGTTGACACTTGGATCTCCTATGGATTCGAACCCAGATTCACCTACAGCAGTTTTAGGAGCAAGTTGTCATTAGTCCTCACAATATAGGTGGGGTTTAATGCTTGCTGCACATGGACACATTTGCTAGTTGGATTTTGATTTTTATCTTCCTCAGTACTTCTGTATGTCTTCCTGTTGTATTGGGTTTAAAGAGTTGACATTTTTGGAAGATATTTACCCATATGATCGGTCTTTGTTGACAACTGCTGTTGACTTCTGCTTTTACGTGGTTTACCGATAACAAATAAATCTTACTGAGTCTTGACTTAGTATTTATATGTTTGAGTCGAAACTGCTGTTTCCAGTTTTTGATTTTAGTATGATTTTCGTATGTTGCTTAATTGTTCAGAAATGGCGAAACTCAAAACCCACCAGTGGAATTGTCGTATTTTCCTGAGCATATTTTTGGTGAAAACGGCTATTTAAACCTGTTGAGATACATACTTGCCAAAGGTATCGAGCGGGCAGACCGTACTAAAACTGGGACTTGTGCAGTTTTCGGTCCACAGATGCGATTCTCCCTTAGAAATCACGAGTTCCCTCTTTTGACGACAAAAACAGTGAGTCCCTCTTAATTTTGAAAATATTTTAATTTCCGGCCAATACTGCCTTAAGTTTTCACATTAAAGACGAAACTTCACTAGTTACTATTTATTTTGACTACATACTTGACACAAAATGTGCATCGAGTGATACACCATGTAGGTTGTGACAGTATTCAGACATCCGGACCGAAGGAAGTGGTTGTTTTTAAGGATAACTCCTCGAGGTTTTTGATGTAAGTCTGATCCACTAGGCAGCGAAGAAACATTAAGTTCTTCATTTCTATGGTTATTGTTGGCCTAGCTGGATTCATACGCCATTACTTCATTCTGGATGGTGGAGCCCTCGTGCATCACTGTCTTGCAATCTTGGTTTTCCAACTATCTTAGGTTTACCCTGTGAAACCAACTCAGCGATTAGGCTGTAGGTTCACTTTCGCCATCTCACTTGTAGAAACAACTCCCGCCCCATAGAAATAATGAGTAAGACTTCCTTTGCAGAGGCTTTGAATGCGTCGTCGTTTGAGAGGATGAGCAGAATCACCCCACCCTCGGTCATATTAGGGCGTTTGGAGGGCAACTTTTGTCATAATCCGACTGTTTATATGGACACTCCTTGAATTTGGCTTTTCACTAGTGAAAATTTGAGTATAGGTAAGACTTCAAGATTTTAATATTTGTTTTAATTTTGTGCGTATTTCGTGTCGAAAGAATATTTATTGCTAATGCGATACAGCTATCCAATTAATCGTAATTTTAACGTATTTTTGCGAAACTTCCAAATCTGGTTACATGGGTAGTTTGCTTTTATTGCAACTATTTATTTATTTTCCTTTAGTTCAATTGAAGTTTGCTTAAATTCGACATTACAGTAGCAAATGACTACTACTAAAATTTGTATCGTCTTCAGGCAAAAGAACTTCCATACATTTTTAGCGCAAGTGATCTAATAGTCAGCACATCTATTGCTAGGAAAGACCTTCTTTGAGTTATTTTCATTTTTTAAAGTTGTTTCCGTTTCGGAGCTGTAGCTTTCTGGAGTATCATTTTCCGATCAGTCAATAATTAGCTTAAGTTTTAGGGTTTGAACAGTGAACACAGAGTTATCTAAGTAAGTTGATCTTTTTGTAACTGGTTGTTAGCCACACGAGGAGTTTGCAAAGAGTGGCAAACTTATTTGATATATTCGTTTCGTTAATCCTGCTTGAAGTGTGATTCGCTAGGAACTAAGTGTGATTCTTTTGGATAAGGTAAAAGGATTACGTTTACTTTTGGAATCTTTGTCCACACAAATACTTGACTGTTGATATGACACCAAAGCCGAGATAAACGGGCAGGTTTCGGACCTAGTTGGGTTTCTTAACCTCATTCTCAGCCTGCTCATGTTCTTGGAACACAGACACAGTTACCGTAACCCGATACTATCTGAATCTCTTCGCTTGAAGACGATATTTAAGTCTATCAGCCAGTATGTCTTACGATTGTCGCTCATTGAAAGAGGTGCCGTCTAGATACATCGTTGTACCGAAGATCCTGTATTTGAACGCCCATGGATGTGCTAGAGCCTATAGTTAGTTATCATTTGAGTTGTGTACGCCGAGTGTTGTCCTTCAAAGATATACCCTTCCTCCATTCTTATATAATTTTCTTATAGACCTGCTTATGGAATGCCCACTCTTCTCATCTGACTTCAGGGACTGACTTTGTCACGAAAGACCTAGAGTACGCATATAACATATTCCTGTCAGGCGATGTCCACGAAGTAGAGTATTCTCGACTTATTAAATGGTAATTTAAGAGTGTTTGGAATGCGTTTCTTGCCGTCCAAATGCAGGATTTTTCTCCAGTATGTTACTTCTAGGACCGACTTTTTCTAACCCCTCCTTCACGTGGGTAAGGCAGCATCAGGGTAGCACTGCTGGTCACCCAAGGGAAATAACTTACTGCCGTCAAACTCCCAGCCAGCCAGCGGTAAAAATTCGCCCTCAAAACCCTATCATGGGGTGGCAGTTGATACTGTAATGGTAACTACTTTTTGTCAAGTCAACATCCAGTAGATCCTTCTGGTATGGTAGGACCTCGAAGCAACAAGCGTCACCTAGTGAATACTATTATGTCTCTGTGTGCTACACTAAACAACAAATCTTATCAGATGCAAAAAGTTCACAGTGCATTCGTCAAATTGCATCGTCTCTGGCACTGACGAGATATCCGACTAACAGTTAAAGGATGAGTATACTGTGCTCCAGTTCACTCTTTCTTATTTTAAGGCTGTGAGATATGGCCGTTGAGATTAGATGACGTAAAGAGATTACAGGTATCCGAACGCAGGTATCTTTGTTGTATTTGCCACATATGGTGGAATCACTTGTGAGCAATGTCGAGGTTATGCAAACGCTACTACGCAAGAAAGGCAAGTCAGACGATCAGACTCCACTTTCATTGATCAAGATAGCTTGGACATGTGTTGCAATTGCCAAGGCAATGCCTTACTCAAAGTCCAGTATTAGCCGAAGTAGGATAGGGTTGAAAAAAAGAATGGTCACAACAAGATGTAGCACTAATATGTGAAGTCCTTGACTGTTGGTCTGAGCCGTGTATAGAAGAGTGGACCACCTAGGTGGGGTCCTCGAAATAAAAGGAATCAGTACTTGCAGACTCTTCTTGGTAATACAGCTCACAAATGGTTCAAATGGCACAGATGTATGCTCCTTGTCATCTTCGATTTCTTGAACATTTTCATTAGATTTCATCTATTTGTCCCCTCAACTCACATACACTTCCATCTAGTTTTTCGATCCGCTTCTTTCTTACATTTTGCTGTGAAGTGCAACAACTTAAACTGATGCATACTTGTGTCATGATCTCCTTCGATGTGTTTGTCTTATCTTCCTTAGCTTTAAGTAGGTAAACAATACCGTAGTGAGTGATCGTTCATGGTAGATGGCAATGTGGCCATTCATATGAGATCATTACTATGGTGCAAATATTGTGCATACTGTAGAAATTTGAAGTTGGCAATATCTGAGCTAGGCGCAAGGAAAGCAATTCAGTTGGTGTAGATTGCGGAGGTACCATGACTAAGATCGGGAGGTTATATGTATCCAGCTGACCATTAGTTAACGTGTAGTATGTGTGGGAAAGCAAATCTCATTACTAGTGCGCTACGTTAGTAAAGACCATCGAAACTATTCATATCCGTGCCGAACTCTCGTCAGCTGCGGATCTTTGCAGACGTTTACAACTGGTTTGGCCCATTGCCTACTACATATATATGTACACAGTTGAATCACACTGCTGCGGAAATCTTGAACTTATGCATTCTTTCGCTTTTTTCTCTTCACCAGTATCATGTAATTTTTTATGCTTACCTAGTTCCTTGATTGTGTGGTTATATTGTGTGAAAGTTGCTGGTGTAGTATTGATGTGTGCAATCAAGTTATCAACAAATTATTTATTTATTCAGTGCTTATACTACAATATCTGTATGATAATTGTGTGCTGTGATGTTTGTCAGCCGTTTGGGTTGTCTTATATATCACTGTCATAAGAGGAATGCGCGTTGTAAAGTGTTGTCTACCTGGTTTTATATATCTGACGTAAACCATCGCATTTGGGTTTAGAAGGTTAAAAAATATATCACAACAGCTTTCTCTGTAAAGTGAGAGGGTTTATCTGTTACACCTACAAGTATCCACAGGTTCTCAAGAACTTGAAGTTTTCATTTGTTTCTGACGCTTCTCTACTTAAATAAACGAAGTTTTGCCTTTGGCAGTCCACTTCATTTATGCGTGGGCAAAATTAAAGTTATGAATATATGTTACGTGGATTGCTTAGTATAATGGCAACTAGTAACAGACCCACATGTATGTGGTTTTCAAGTAGATTATGCGGTTATATGTGGTTTTTTTTTATCTAATGGACAAAATAGTGAGACGGTTTTAGGGATCGTTACTTCATTGTGGTCAGTGATAAGCATAACTTCATGCTTCATTTCATTACTTAAAATTTCTAAGTACACGTCAGCTGTATTGTTTAGAATCTGGATTTTCACCCCTCACTCGCTTTCTGCATATATTTATATATACATCAGAATATGTCAGGTTATATTTCCTAAAGCAACTGTGTCCTTAATTTTGTTTGCTAGGTGTTTTTTCGAGGAATTGTGGAGGAGCTGTTGTGGTTTATTCGTGGATCTACTAACTCTCGTGAACTAGCAGAAAAAAAAGTACATTTTTGGGACGCAAATGGGTCCCGTGAGTTCCTTGATGGATTAGGTTTCACTGAACGTGAGGAAGGTTAGTTTATTAGGTTGACTCAAAAGTGTTCTAAACCCATGAGTGAATGTACGTTGTTACTTTTTTGTTTTGCATGTGATGCAACTAACTCAGACAAGGATTTACGCCTACATGGTTTTATTCATCTAGTTCTACTTAAAATACCATTCTGCTCATCATAAATGGGATCTAGTGTTATTAGACGAATGCAGGTTTTTTATTACTCGTGGTCTAACTGACCGTAAAGTTAGGTATGAAAATTTTCGAAAATTTTCTGTGTTTCTTACTTGATGTATAAGTGACAATGTTAGTCGTGATACTTGCCATAGGCATGCGAAATGTGCATTACGTAATTCTGTAGGTAAACGTATAAGCTTGCTTGCTTTTTCAGTACACGTTACTTAAGATCTGGACAATTGCAACTTCACTGCTTTTAAATGTTTGTAAATCTGTTCTTTAAAAAAGCTATATTCTTCGTGTTTATCTGCTCTTGCGCCTTCAATTCATTTTAGGTGATCTTGGTCCCGTTTATGGTTTCCAGTGGCGTCACAGCGGCGCTGAATACGTAGATTGTAAAACTGATTATAGTGGTCAAGGTGTTGACCAACTTGCAGATGTCATTAAGCTTATCCGAGAACGCCCTTGGGACAGAAGGATTATGATTGTAGCTTGGAATGTCAGAGGTAAGAAAATATATCTTTAAGTTCATCTTAGTTCATTTTTAAGATGCACATATTGGGCTTTATATGATTTTAGTGAGGCACTCTGAAGGCCACTCTTACGATTCCCAAAATGACCAATCAGGTTTCCCTATTTCGACTAAAAAGACAACTTACTCAAAAAATAAATAAACATGATTGACCAATTTAGCATTTGTTAGGGTGGTCTTTAAAGCTGCTCGAATTTCTTTTGTTTTTCTTATGGCTAACTTTAACACTAGCTCGTGACCAATTGGTTTTCTCCTTGTGTTACTCCGACCACTTTAGATTAATGTGATATATCCATTATTTTACTCACTTAACTTTTCTATTTGGATCATACGTCTGATTCACTACACTGAGTGTTTTCCATATTAAGTATGTGCTGAGGAAATCAATCAGGAAGTTGCCAATCGTTCGTTGCTGACAGTCGGTTTTCCTTTACTCACCTAGTACCTTATCACAGTTGGTGATGGAACCTAGTTGTAATTATGAACCCTGCGAACGTTGAACTGCTATTAGAGCAACATCTAAAATCGATGAGAATGCTTACCAAAACGAAGATTGTTTCATCATTACTATCAAACATGATTTCCCGTTCCTCTGCATCATCAATTGATAGTATTGTGAATGTTATCAAACAGACAAAATCAACGTAGAACCTCTCACACAAGTGCATCAGTTTTAGTTGCCACACTTCATAGTAGTATTCAAAGAACACGTAGGTAGAAAAAGATTGATATCAAAGTAGATAAAGGTGCATGAAAGAAGAAGCGATTCGAAGAGAAAGGTTAGATATAGGATAAAAGTGCAAATATTCAAGCTTTAGAAGACATCAGAGAGTGAATATGTCATCATTGTAACTGATTTTCAGCCATTTCATCAAGACTCCCTCAACGTCTGATACCTGTCGTCTGGGCATCCCAACGAAGCAGTTTCCACTTTCCTACGCGGCTCAAATCAACAGCCAGAGATTTCATTGATTAGTGCCACATCTCGGTCTGGTCATCGTTAGCTCTTTTCCGATCTTATCCAACTTCTTCTAGCATTACACGTTGAGGCGGGTGTCATCTCGGCATACGAAGCATGTGTCCAAGCCACCACAGTCATTGAACGTTCGCAACCTTATCTGTTTACCAGGCTGTCTTGCCTAATACTTTTTGCCTGATCTCAACATAACTTACGTGGTGATTCCACAATATGCGAGCAATGCTACGAAGGTACCTGTCTCCATAGACCTTTAAACACTTTATATCCTCTACTTTTAACAACCATGTATAACAGCCATATAACAGAACAGAACTGACCTCAGCGCAGCATACTTGTCCTTTAATAAGTAGTTGAATATCTCGCCGGCATCAGAGATGAATCAAACTGGAAAATGTCAAACGAGTCTTCTGTATCCAAGCTGAGATTTCATCAGTAAGCAGCCCGTTCGGGCTTATGCAACTCTCCAAGTGAGTGAAGTGGTCGATGCATTCCCTTACTTCACTCTCTATCAGTAAACTGGGAGTACTTGCAGCTGACCAGTTTTAAAGGATCGTCTTTGGCAGGTGTGAAATGCACCTGTTGAACAGGAAAGGTGATGGTGGACATAGCTGGCTGACACTAGTCGTCGTCAATTCAAACGACAACTCTCCATAAGCCGTTATATGGTTGCATGAATTTCAGTAAAAAGCTTTGATAAGGGTTACGTGCGTGTTCAGCACTTCTTTCACATGCAGACACTACCACAACACTTTATAGACTACAGAGTTGAGTGACGCCTTCAGGTCAAAAAATTTGGTGAGTGTTGGCCGCTGGTAAGTGTGCCTGTCTTCCACAATCACTCGAAGGGTGAAAATCTGGTCAATGCACTCTGGTTCAGGTGTGAAACCTGCCTGGTTTTTTCGAGCTTGTTGCTCTTGGGCTCTAACTAGGCGTTGGATAACCATTAGTCCTTAGATACATTATTAATCAAACTAATTCTCTATATTTGTCACAAGATTTCTTCCCCTTCTTATAAACTGGAATGATCAGTGAAGTGTACCAGTTTGACAACACCACCTCTCATTTCCAAACACTACACAGTATCTCCGTCTATCTAATCAGCAACTTCCCATCTCCATCCTTGAAAACTTCAAGTGGCAAACTGTTAGATCCAGATGCTTTGCATTGTTTCAGGTTTTGTACAGCTTTCTCAACTTCAAGGAGGGTTGGAGGACCAACATCTACGTCCTATTCAGATTGTGGCTAGATGTTATGCAACTGAAGCGTTGCTGAGAGCCACTTGAACTGTGCTTCAAAGCGTTCTGCCCAGCGTTCTAGCAGCCTTTCCTGGGATATTATCAGCATCCCATTCTTTTCGGTGATGGTTTCACCCACCATCATCTTGTTGGTCTCCTTAAGAAACTTCTATAGTTACGGAGTGTTACCCAACGCTGATGTCTTCTCGATCTCTCTCACTTCCACCCCGTCCCCCTTATTGCTCTCAATTGGCGCGAAGACTTACGTTTGAACTGCTTTTGTGCTCCATCTTGGTCAGAGCCAGATGGGACCAGTCTTCTCGCACCAATCAGTTCGGGTGACGTCGCGGAAATCCAGTGAGGTTTGTTAACCTTTGAGTGTGAACCTTCATCGACTGAGATGGTTGGGATACATGTTACTTATGCCTAGTCCCTGATTGCCCCATCACACAATGTTGACCAAAGTAGATTCAGGCTGAAAAAAGGCGCGAGGCGGTCAGACCAAAACATGGCACCAATGTATGAAGTCTTTGACTGTTGGTTTAAGCTATGTGGGGCGATGTAGACTAGCTGGTTGTGGTCCTCAGGACAAGAGAAATCAGTGGTTTGAGATTCCAGGTGATATGGCTCAGAACTGATGTCAGTGGCGCAGATGTATACACACATTATCCTCATGTTAACGACGCTACACCGAATCTCACCAGCTCATTCTTCCTTCCTCTCTTTTCGTACTTTATATTTCTTCTGACTGAGTTTTCTTATCTTCATTTTGCACTTCACTGCTTTTTTGTTTGATGTACTGATATGAGGTGTGGCAACTCGGACCGTCACGCAGTAATGTCTGGTCCTATGTTGATAGGTGATGATGACCGGTTGTCTTTACCATCGTTTCTACAGCAGATTTAATGTCACTTCAGGAAATGTGTCTTTAGCATCGTAAACTTGACCTACCGAATTTGATAAGGACTGTAAACTTCCCCCTCAGATGTCAAGCGATCAAAATTTCGATGCTACAGTCAAGTGGCCAAGTCAGCAGTTTGGAGACCATTCATTTTTCAATATATGGTATCTTTTGTGAAGGAAATAAGAAGCAATTTCTTAACAAACGTGGGTGTTGTCATCGAGAATTGCGAACGATTTCGGCATAAGTCTCTGTCGGATGATCAATTGAAAGCCCTTATTCTAATATGCAGTCTCCAATCATCTAAATCGGCAGACATCTGAACGCACCTGCTTACCCCGCTAAAACAAGATCTTGACTTCAGGTGATATTGCACATGAATGCCAACGGCTAATCAACTTATAGAAGGATATAAGTCTACTCCTGTCCGGTAGTCAGAAGGGCTTGGATTTGCATTCTTTTCGTCAGGTTACAAAGCACTAACTCTATCACATCTGTTGATTGTCCGCATCATACCATATTAGCGCATGGTATTTCATAAGACATTGGCCCTAGAAACATCGCCATTGCCAACGGTGTAATGCATTTGGTTACAAAGATGGGTATTGCCAGCCGAACCAGTCACGTAGAAATAGATTTAGATCCCGATTGAAATTCGCAGTAGACGTCAGTCTTAAACCAGTAGGTACGCTTATGAGTCTACCGGCTACATGTCATTTTACAGCATTAAGCAAACACGTCTCTTAACATCCAGACAAATGGTTTGTAAAGCAAGTTTACAATTAGATATTGCAACCGAAACTACTATCATTTCGGGGAAGCTTAAGGATGAATTCGGTGATTCTGCTATTCAAGAAGCTTTTCAAACTGATATGACGGCATGTGATGTATACCTTGTAGCATCCAGTCAGCTTAGTAGTTGTGTATCATTACGTAGTTTGGCGTTCATAGGGATTTTTCTTGGGTCATCTAGTAGGACTTAAATCTTTTTGGACTTCATTGGTCAAACTGTCTTCAACCTGCTCAAGTGCCATTTATTTCCATATGAAACATGATAAACCATCCTCAAAGGTCACAACCTTTGCAAAACGTTTTCATCTATTTTCCAACCTTGTCTAGCCCGCTGTACCGCGACACAAGCTGTCGTCTGTCTCCTGTCAAATTCTAGGTCAATGTTCCGCACATAACAGCCAGCTCTATGTGATACCATATCTAAGGTTGGTGAAGAATTACAGCATATTCGACGGCAAAATGTGTTGAAACCTACCACTTATTCGGCTTGGGTGGCACCTGTTATAGTTGTCAATAAAGCCAGTGGTTCTCCACGTGTTTGTTCTGGTTTTTTTTTTACTGGTTCTTAGGATAGCACTTTTATCTTCTGTCTAAACGTATTCGTAATCCACTTTCATTTATTCGCAGAAGACCATTTACGTCCAGTCGTAAAGCTCCTCTAGAGAACTGCCTACAATTCAGACGTCATCCAGGTAGATGATTACTCCGGTGACATTCGGTAAAGTAGTGTCCAGTAAGTACTAAACAATAGTTGGTACAGTCCCAATTCCGAGTGGTAGTTCGTTGTATTAAAATAATCCATAATAAGTGGTAATGGTTCACAGTAGAATTCAGGCATTGCGGTTGAGTATCAGTTCATTATAGTTTCGTCTCACCATGCGATACATATAGTAAAAGAACTACAATGGAAATATAGCCTGTACGTTTTCGCTTATTAAAGTGATATCCTCCGAATACTCACTCGAAAACTCTCTCTTGGTAACAAGTCTACACCACTACCCTCATGCACCTCCTTTTGTGCTGTCTCATTAGGCCGAACGGGCTGCTTACTGATGAAATCTCAGCTTGGATACAGAAGACTCGTTTGACATTTTCCAGTTTGATTCATCTCTGATGCCGGCGAGATATTCAACTACTTATTAAAGGACAAGTATGCTGCGCTGAGGTCAGTTCTGTTCTGTTATATGGCTGTTATACATGGTTGTTAAAAGTAGAGGATATAAAGTGTTTAAAGGTCTATGGAGACAGGTACCTTCGTAGCATTGCTCGTGTATTGTGGAATAATCACATGAGCACAGCAGTGCCCAACTAATGGATGACAGTTTTAATGTCGAGAAATGTATCTATTGTCAGTGTACAATACGTATGATAGTATCCCAATATCTGGTAAATGGCGAACAGAGCATCATTGCATCCACAATGTTAAAGAAACCGGGTCTGCTGCGATAATTATCACACACCTTGCGTAACCTTTTTAAAGATTGGTACAATGACTTCCTCTCTCCCGAGGGATGCAACACTTAGTCTGTCATACTTTCTCAAGTAGTCTAGTCGGTACTTTGACTACTGTCTCACTTCCGTCCTTAGAAAGAAACGGATGTCATTGCCGTAAAGTATTTGGAGTCCCCTCTGAACCCCCACTTTGTTGGGTTAGTCGGTGTTAGCTAGCCATGGAGCATTGTAGTCGATAGTATTTGATCAATGTGCCAATCAAATTGTTTACCTAAGAGCTCCGCTATGTGTTCTAGGTGTCTACAAAGGTTAGTGATCAGCGTAACATCTGATTTACAGACCGTTTCGGTGACACTAGGTTTCTTGCTACCAGTAATTCGGATGAGTTAGAACAGTTGTCTATCACCAGATGGAGCACTTTCTAACTACCAAGCATTGCGCGAGTACTGTTTGTTTGTCTGGTAAGGGACTTGCGCTTACCATTGTACCTGTTGTCTGCTGAAATAAACCGAAGAGCGTCAAGAAGTTGCAAGTACCTCTCAGAGACTTATTGTTTATTATTGGGACGTTCCTACTATCCACAAATAGCTTTCACCATAGATAGCTCCCTGTTTGTGCAGCTAATGTTCATCTTTACTGTTTTGAGGTTCGACAGCTAGCCTTGAATATAGTTAGATTTTGTACTTAGTTACAATAATAGATGCAGTAAGTTTTCTTACGTCAACCTTTTTACGATGACCAAAAGAACGTGAAAGAACATTAGCATGTATTAAAGTATGATGAGAGTCCAAACAGTTGTTCCAGAAAGAGCGACACTCCCCAATGTACCCATGCTATCCGTAGCCAGTTGCAGTGTGATCTATTTGAATTGAGGCTTAAGCGGCAGACGAAGGGTATCAGATAGCACAGTGGTGTTTGTATGTGTGTGTGTGTGTGTGAGAGAGAGAGGTTAAGAAATAGACGTAGAACCTCATAGAAATGCATCCATTTGAGTTGTCAAACTTCACAGCAGCTTGCAAAGAACAAGTAGATAGGAAAAGAGCGACATAAGGGTAAACAGAAGTGTGTGGGAGCAGACAACTGAAAAGTGTAAGCTAGTGAAAAAATTCAAACCCCCAAAGATGTCGAAAAGTGAATTCATCTGCGCTATTGTAATTGATTGTTACTGAGAGTGTGGAACCAGTGATTCCAATTATCTCGAGTACCCCATTTAGGCATTCTGCGCCATGTACGACCTAGTCTAATTTTAGAGACTGCATGGACTGGTGCCACGTTACTATCCTGCCGTCTAACCCATTCCTGATCCTGATTCGGCTAGCATTGTACGTCAAGATAGACTACGGCTCAGCATGCGAAACGCATCTAAACCTCATCCATTAGTGAAGACTCGCAATTTCATCGAGTGACTTGTTTTCTGTGCCTAGTCCCTTACGCCTAACATTGAATTACCTCATGTGTTGATTTCGCCACTCATGATCAAAAACGTGTGATATTTTCGTATCCTCTTGTCCTAGGGGTCGTATTTTAGCCATATTGTCATATTGTACAGCATAATGACGATGGCTATGCCGAAAGTTGGTGTTTGCCAGAAGCAAGTTGTGATCTACACAAAGCTGCTTAAGATATTCCTCATTATCTGACCATTACCGTTACCGTCAGCCACCTAAACAATCCTCCAATCGGTCCGAACGCTTTACCCGCGCGTTCAGCTGGCACGACGATGTCTGTCAAGCGAACGTGATGGGGATGATCACTCACCTTGTGTATAACTCATCCTTAACTGCATGCAGGGGACAATCGGTTGGAGCATAGGCAGAGATGGTGAAGATATCGTTTTCTCTACCAGTTACTTTCCATTCTGTTCAAAACTTCTAATCTAACAGTGCAAAGATGACTGTTGGTGAGGAAACCGTCGGTTAGTACAGCTTTGGCTCTGGTGCTTTCTCATTCTTTTCGTAAATAGATTACTTGATTTTCTTTTAATAAAGTTAGAGGAGGTATCGTTCATTGTATCCTCATATTTGTAATCACCACTGTATTTTATCACTTTTGCTTACAATCCTGCATTTACATAGATTTACGTAAAATGGCCCTTCCTCCTTGTCATTGTCTTGTGCAATTTTTCGTTGCAAACGATGAACTGAGCTGCCAGTTATACCAGCGTTCAGGAGATATGGTAAATATTTTGAGCTTTTTCCTACATTTTCTATTTGCAATGAAATGTTTTACGTTAGAAAAGAAAGCCAGTTGATATTCGTAAACCTGAATCAAATAAAGTTGGGTGAAATATGGGTTACTCATGTTTGCATTTTGGTGGGTGCGTTATCTTAGTTCGGTCAAGAAAAGGATAAGAAAGTTTTCACATTCATCAAACCAGGGTATGAGAATAATTTCTGAAGTAATTAGTTTTCCTACGAAAAATGTAGGCTTTGAGAGTGAGGAACCTCGCCTGGTTAACTAATTCACTAGTTACTAGCCGGTCCTAAGCCCAGGTAAAGAGAGAAGGTTGGGCGTAGGGCTATCAACCCTACTCCTTAAAACAAATCCAACCGCTAAAGAAACTTCAAAGCACAAACAAAATATAAAAAATAAAAATAAAATTATTCTTCGTCGGAATCGGAGAGGCGAAATGACGCCGGTTAGTGAAAACCTTCGGGAAGCCAATTGGCCGATGTGTCTTCTCTCGATGAAAGCGAAAGTAAGTTTGGGGACATGGAATGTCTGCACGATGTTTGAACCTAGCAAGGCTGCTCAGATTGCCAGAGAGATGAGAAGGTATCGCATTGAAGTGTTAGGAATTTGCGAAAGCCGATGGAATGGGAGTGGACTCTCCAAACTGTCAACTGGAGAGGAGTCAATAATCAACTCTGATATCGTTACCCAGACAACAACCACGAGCACACTGAGTTATGGAGTGGCTATCATGGTGTCCCCAACAGCATCGAAGGCTCTCGTGCAGTGGGAACCAATCTCCTCCAGGATCATAACAGCAAGGTTCAAGAAAGTGGAGATGGATTTGGCATACACCGAGAAGGCCGACTGGAGACATCACGCGCCAGGCACTCGAGTGGAACCCAGATGGGAAACGACGAGTTGGGCGTCCGACGGTGACTTGGAGGAGATCGTGCGAGGAAGAAATGAGAACTTCTGGTCTGTCATGGAGTCAGGTTCAAAAGATTTCAGAGAACAGAGTGGAATAGAGACGTGCTACTGAAGCCCTATGTTCCACTATGAACCCAAGGGACAAATAATAAATAATAATTGCGAGTGAGTTCTTCCATATCTCAGGATTGATGATTTTGAACCTAAAATGATACTGTGACCTCAAATACGCGAATGCATTCTGGCTTTAAATCGTGAATATTTTGTTTTAAATCCATTTGTTCTTTTGACTTTTATGTCCCGTTTGTTGGAATCCTCTCAGTAGCCATATACACATTTGTACAGTAGGCTACAAGCTACGCTTATCGTGTGGGAGAGGTCAATGATACTACCTGACAGCCTAAACCTCGGCAGGCGGAGCTGGGTTCATACCAATGACCCATCGGTTTGACCAATGAGCCACAGTCCCACCGTCTGACTTGTCGTTGATGTGAATAAGTCGAACTGTTTTGTCTGGTTCTGTTATTTATTCGGTCAACTAGTCAGTCTCTGTATGTCTGATGGATCACATTTAAATACGAATATCTACTCGCTGCAGCAGTGTGGGTAACTTGTAAAACAAACAGGAGACTAGCCGTCAAGTGACGTTAGAGAGCATACTACGAATAACGAAATAGTGACCTCTATGTGGGTTTCAGGTTTGAAAGTTCACTTGCTAATTTTTCTAAGGACGACTATACATTTGTGTTTATACTAAACTATGTGCGGTTATATTGTTTTCTCTCCATGTTTTAGATGATATTTTTGTTGTAGGATACTGAAACTACCCAATTTCATTTGTGATGGTGGATTTGTTATGATTTTCTGCTATTCTAAGTCAGTTGGTTTATGAAAATCAAATTGAATTTCTATTTTTATTTATGAATTTTGTTCCATTTAGGGTCTTGGTGTGCCATTCAACATTGCAAGTTATGCCTTGTTAACTTGTATGATTGCTCATATTACTGGGTTGAAACCCGGTGAGTTTGTACATACACTGGGTGATGCACATATTTATTCTAATCATCGTGAGGCATTACTTGAACAGGTAAATTTAATACCTTTTCGGATACATTTTTGCGTGAATGATAGAGAAGCTTATTCAGTCACTACCGAGCTAGCACAAAAGTTTGTTGACTTAAATTGGATTTGGGGCTTCACTATTTATCGTCATTATTGTTAATATTTTATTGAATAACGTTTTTTTGAATACAACGTTCCTGGTATTCCATGATTTTGACAATAATAATCGATGAAGGTGATAAGTTGTCACCAGAATATGTTCTGAAATTTAAACCTAGTTTATACTTAACATTTCAAAGAGGTAGCAGATATATTTGTAAACTAATTTTGTCGATTGTTTTATCTCCTGTAATGCTGTAATTATGTCATCCAGTGATCAATAGTAGAACTGTATATGCCATTGATTGGCAAGGTCACCGTTTGGAAACATCGTACATTGGGTCTCAGTGAATAATTGTAACAGTTTTTGAACTATCTAAGCAAATACATTTCAATGGGTTCCAAGTATTGTGATGATAATTGAAGAAGTAGAGAGGTATAATTGTGTTCAGGGATCGAAAAGGTGAGGTACGGAATCTACATCAAGAATCATATAACTTAGCTAAAGTGCTCTGTTTTTAAAATATTTCTCCAAAAAAAGTAACAGCACTATTATCCTCTACGTGGGCGTATTCCTAATCTACTGTCTTTAATTCGTGAAAAAATCAATTCTTTTCAGCCGTAAATCTTCTATAGAGAATTGCTTACAATTCAGACGTCATCTAGGCAGACGGCTACTCCTGTAATATCAGAAAAAGTAGTGTCCGTTAAGTGCTAAAAAATAGCTGATGCGACGTTAGTCTGACCGTTAAACTTTGGGTGTACAGCTCTTCGGTGCTAACGGTTCTGCTTTATGCCTGTGAAACCTATCCTTTCCGAGCTGAGGATGTACGATGACCTTGTGTGTTTGATCATCGTTGTCTCCGTAGGATCGCTCTTATCCTGTGACAGCATGTGTTTGGGCATAATAGAGATCGTCATTCAGTAAGTGAAGTCATCTTGAAACATTTGCTATGGTGGCTTGGACATATGTTACGAATGTCGTCCCAGTGGCTTCCATACCGTTTATTATTTGGTAGCCCTAGAACTGATTGGAAGAAGCAGAAGGGTGGTCAGTGTATAACGTGGCGTCGTGAGATTAAACATAGTTATATTGGGTTAGCATCTGTTGGGTGGATCACGACTCCCTGAGCGGGATCCGAAAGATCACGCAACTCTGTGGCTTGATATGCTATCAGATATAACTCAGAATCGAAGCTATATATTCTGCTGCTTAAAAGTAATGAATGTATCCTACTGGACTGCACTTCTAATCATTCTATTGTTAACGTTTTTCTTTCTTATCCACTGTCCATCGTTTATGTCTTCATAATGTTGTTAAGCTATTTTGTGTGGCGCATTTCTTGGTGCCATTGCTGTACCATGTTTGTGTTCTAATAATAACAATAGTAATGATAATAATAATAAATAATCACCAAGTCTATCTGAGTGGACAGCATCCTCTTTTCTCGTAATTGCACTGAATATATTTATTTTTGTCTGTTCAATTTCTACAGGTTAAACGTGTACCTCGACCTTTTCCGAAATTGGAAATTATACGGAAAGTGAACGCTATCGAAGATTTTAAGTTTGAAGATTTCAAACTTACTGACTATAAACCTTATCCGAAAATCCCTATGAAAATGGCACTCTGAGAGATAGTTTTTTAATCATTATCAAATAACACGAAACATGGTTTAACAGCAAGATTTTCTAATATAAGTGTGTTAACAATTCATTTCTTGTCTTTATAATTGTATATTTTTTGCTGAAAAATGTATCGGTAAAACGAGTGGTTAGATTATGCAAGAACAACGAAGTATTTTTTTTTTTCATTAGACTCTTCTCAGCCTCAGCTAGTGGAGAAAAGGTTAACTGGATAGAATGGTTTATTAAACCAATGGCAGTAATTTAAAACCAGACTACCGCTGCCGCATTTGTAGTAGTTTGTAAGACGAAGATTAATAAACAACGTATTTTAGAAGATTATGGCCATAAAGAAAAGACCAACATATATGAGCTGCAAAGGTAGATTAAAAATTTATAAAATCGCTACAGAGTACGTTGGGTCAAAAATACAATTCAGACTTGAAAAAGCTAATGGTCTTAAGAAATATAGTGAACTAGCGAACGAAAACGTCTGTTTATAGCATGCTTGCCTTAAAAAAAAAATTAGTTGTAGGCTCTTTTCTTACCGTGGAGACCCGACTCAGTAGTTTCTGTGGATGACTATCAATCAGTGGGTCACGTGTTCGAACCTCGCTCCACCTACCGAAGTTCGGGCAGCCAGGTAGTATCACTAGCCCTCGCACAAAAGGTGTGGCTTATTGCCTGCTGTACGGATGTGCACAGGGTAGGTGAATGCGTTTCGTTTCTTTTCGCACCTACCTGCAATTGCGGTATTCTTTTGCCTCATCGATCTAAACACCCTGGAGATGGGTTCACTCAAAATAGTGTTGGAAACATTTCTTCTACAGCTTATCTTCTCTTTTTTCGTTATTCATATGAAGATGGAATGTGTTCAACATTTACTCTAGTGAATGACTTGACATCAACGTGGTTGTGACGGTTGGTTTTCACCGATGCAACTGATTGTGTTGATGAGTCCATATCTGAACCTGGCCAGGTCGCAGTGGACTCAAGTTCGGTTCCCCAGTCTATTATCGAAAATGCGAACAGACGTACCTACTATGATAGATCGTTTACTGATGATTGGTGACTCTAGATGTTTAAATTCCTTTTGTTAAAATGAAGTCGCGAATAATCCATAGTTTACATCCCACAAACACAGTCGGTGGCTGCTTATTTGATGTCGCCCATTTCAGAGCATTACGATATACAAGCAAAACATTTTTAATGGCTCTAGGTAACGCCTCGAGGGTGTCGACAAATAATCTCGCTTGGCTATTAACTGTGTGTGAAGTGGTGGTCAGTACAGCTGAGCAGGGGTGTTACGATGGTAAAAATCTTGAAACTCAAAGGAGTTGAATTATGAACTAATATCTGTAACTATGGTTTTAGGTAGACCATGACGGGAAGATATATTGGATGAAACGCGTAACCTTTTTGATGTTGATGGGTTCATTGACTTGACTTGCGGTCACTTCAAATAGGTAGCTTCCTAAACTAGGTGCAATACATCTTAGATGGGACCAGGGAAATCAAGTAAATACAAGGCTAAGGGTCTATAGTCAGTACCATGGTACAAGACGTAACTGAGGAGGACACTGTTACTAATTTCTGACTATTGCGGAAATGTCCCACGCTTCCCAAAATGTTTTTGTAATCAAATTAATTTTTAACCAACTTGTCTGTACTTCATACATTTATATCAAACAATTTATCGTGTTCTTTCCAGAGCTGTGGCATTTACCGCTTATTTGTCCATGACTTAAATTTTTTGAATCACAGTTTGAAATCGTGTACTTTATGCAAAATGGCTTTGAGGTCTTCGATATGGAATTGTCAATAAATCGGAATCCAAGTCGATAAAAATGCATTTTGTCTTGAATAATGTTCTGTGTTCCTGCTGCTAAGCGTTTTGAGCAGTTGTCTGTCGACTAGTTTTTCAATGCAAAATACCACAATGGTGGGAAGTCACAGCGTAAATGATCATGCCTATATGGGGTTATGATGCCTTCAGAAATATCCAATAAAGTAAAACTGAGTCTCTAATCATTGTTGAACGGTCAACAAGAAGAGCCTCAAATACTCATATTGAATGTTTACATGTCTTGGTGGTTTGTGACGTTTCTGAACATTTCTAACATTGACTGGATGTATCTTTTAGTTTAAAAGCAATGAGTAATCAACTAGAAAACAGTTGCATTACTGGGTGCCTTATCGTTTATATATGATGAGCTACATACATATGAAATGCCTAAATATTCTTACTGAGTCATAAAAAAGATTTCAGCAAGCATATTTTTTCGATGTTATCATTTTTAGAACTTGTACACGAGCATCTAAATATAATGAGCGTCTAATGACCAGCTGTTGACAGGCTTTCATTTAGCCTATAGATGGGTACATTGTTGCAGGAGGACGCATAGAGGAGTGTAAGTCCAGTGGTGACCACAAGAGCCTGGAGGGGGAAATAGGAAGAGAAAAAGTGGGTCAACGACTCAACAATTACGAACACATCTATGGGTATATATATATATATATATATATATATATATATATATATATATATATATATATATATATATATAACTACTTTTGCTCGCTTTTAACTTTTAGGCTGTTGAATATATCTTTATCCTAAAAGTGTGTTCCTAATTAAGACGATTCTGGTGGTTGTTCAAGGTCACGGAGTTAGTCGTCGATTTTAGGTCACTTAGTAAGCGACCTCTAATACGTGCACAATATTAACCGGTCTCTTAAGGAATGTTTAGCGTTCCAACAGGTTCACTATAGTGTAGAAAACGGTATTTAAACTAATTAGTTGGTGTAGTATAGTTTATAAGTTTCCTCATCTTTTGATTAAGTTATAGATGGTTGAATTCTCAAAGGTATAACATGGATTTATAAAGACTTACAGAAGTAATACAAATAGAGGAGTACAATAAGAAATGAGCTCACCAGTCTAGTAGTTGTCGCACGTTATTTAGACAGACGCTGAGGTCAACCATCAGTTTTTCGTACTTGTTGGATATTCAAGAATGTAAGACCAGGAAATAAAACAGTTCGGTAGCTAGGTGGAAATCGTATATTTGTCGTATGATGCCAATATACCTAGATATTGCACTAAGTAAATTGACTAGATAATATGTAGAATGGCATGCATGCTTGACAGTGTGACTCCAGCTGAATGAATTCGTTAAATCTATCAAGGTTAGCATCAATGTTAAATATCGTTGATTGTGAGAAATTATTTGGCACTACAACATCCTAAGTGTTTTTATTTTCGACAGTCAACACTGCAAATTATTGCGCTTTATTGCTTACTTTCGAGTGGTTGGGATTTGTGTAGAAAATTTTCTATGATTTGTTTTTTCAAGCGCTTTCATCCTTGAAATTTAAGAGTGAAAACAGTGCTGCTACCTAAATAATCCAAAACTTCCATTTCGAAAAACTTATGCGGGAAGAATGATCGCACGTGTATCCTCATCGTAAATGGTCGTTCAACGGATGGTATTCTTCTATCGATCTACCCAAGACGTAATGGTAAAAAAGTTTCACCGATGTCAAAACCTGTTTTTATTTATCTGGCTTATAAATTATAACAATAAACCCACAAGATTTCGCATAATATAATAAAACGGAGGTTATCTGAGAAATGTGATGTATTCGCTAAACACATTTCGAAAATTTGATCGCACATTAACTTGTCAATGCATTTTAAATGGAGGATGTAAAGAAGGTGGGGTAAAATAAATATATATAAGATTTGGAAATATAGGAACAATATGGGAAAATAATATATTTTCACACCTCCCTTGGTTAGTAAGGCCAAATAGCTTTTGAATACACAGAGTGGGTTTGAACTTTCATATTGCTAAGGCTTCAATGAACCTAAGTATACGGTCTTGATGACTCTTATACAATGGTCTAAAGGGTGTTTTGGGATCAATCCTGTGACCTCTTACTGTAATATGTTTACCCATTGGAGATAGTGTCTACCTACCCCCTGTATTTATCAGATTATTTGAATGTTATTGTTTTTCTAGCATGTTCCACCACTCTCGATTTCATAGTTCGATTACTCTTCCCAATGTGTATCACCACAAACACATGTAAACTGGTATACACAGTGGGATGTAACGTAATCATCTGTGTTGTGATGAGAATTTGATTTTTTCCAATTTATCTGTTGTGCAGATACAAAGAGTTCATAAGATTTCGCTAAGCATCCTAATTTTGAAATGCCATTCCAAAGTTGAAGGAAACGGAGTGTAAAAGTAGATGGTAATATACTATTATTTTAATCACATTTTTTGAATCTAACTGGTCTATTTGGGAACATAAAGATAGTCTCCACCCAAATTTTGTATAGATATAGGTTAAGGTGCCCAAAATATGCCCATGTTCAGATAAAGTTACACGAGGCATACAATAAGTACACAAATATATATGGTCGTTCAACACTCAGAGCTTTGAGCCTGGGTACACATGAACCGTACTCAGAGATAACTACAACAACCATCAAAAAAGTTTCAATTTTCTTCTGTTCAGAAAGGTTTGCAGTGTTTCTTATAGTAAGCTTATAGCTGATAATATAGTCTGTGGACCTAAATTATTCGTTATTGTAAAACGAATATAAATCCTTCTAAGGCATTGCGAACTCAGTAATACGGGTATTGATCATTAGTGAAGAAGTCTTACCTGAATTCGTTGAGCAGTCGTCACCAGATAAGACTGACAAAATGAACAAAGACTCCATTTTATTTCATCATTCAAAGAAAACATTTGAAACCTTGGCAGTCCTCAACTCCGAAGCCCCATGAAATGTAATTATATGCCCACATTTATGATACTGAACATTGCAAAAACGCTAATTCATTTTTAAAACGTAACTCCTACATGAATAACATGGTTTAGTGCCAGATATTTGTTTAAAAATGTTTAAAATGTTCAATTATTTGTGTGATTCGTCATACGAAAATGGTCAAACTCAAATAAATTCTGTTGTTAGGTCAAGGTATTCTAAATTTTGGATAGAATTTCTTTGGGTGTGATCTGAACTGTGATTAATATCCAGTATTGATATATTAAAAGGGAATAGGAGGATCTTTGGGAGCTTGAAACGTATATGATACTTCCTGCTAGCTGATTTTTAAGCTTACGAAGGCTTGTCAATTGCTCACTGAGTTTCAATGTCGTCAAATTTA